TGGGCTACTTCTCCTACCACTTCTGGGTGTCGTACGTGCGGAATGAGTGCGTCGACACGGACATGACGGCGTCGGACCGGCGTTCGCCGTGCCCGCGCGACGCCTGCGCGCCCGAGGACTTCGCGCGCGACGCCGCGGCCGTCGACGCCGCGGCTCTCGCGGACTGCTGGCTCCACACGGAGACGCTCCTCGCGGACCTGGAGACGTGCCTCCGGCGCTACGTCGCGCGCGCGCCCGCGGCGGCGGGCGACGTCGACTGGAGCGCGCTCGCGGCCCTCGCGGCCGCGACGCCCGCCGAGGCGGCCGTCGCCGTGAACGTCGACAAGCGCAAGAGGCCGGACCACCCGCACGGCCACCACGGCTACTGCGGCGCCTACGCCGACGCCATCGCCGACGTCGTCCGGCGCGCCGACCGCCACATCTTCCGCGCGTTCAACTACACGACCTGCTGCGGGGCGGCGCGGGCGTCAATCGTAACTTCAGGGTAGCTTCTTGCAGGGCTTGTTGCATTCTTTTTGCAGAGCCATATGGAGGAGCTCGAGGAGGGCTAAACGCGCGGCACCGGGGCGGTCGCAAGCATGGGCGCGGAGGCGCGCGAGGCCGCGGCCGCCGCGCGGACCGTCGACCGCGCCGCGCCGCGCGCGGAGGGCGGCACGCGCTGTCGCGACGCGGCCCTGCAGGCCAAGCTCGATCGCCTGTTCTTGCTCTCGGAGCAGGACAACCGCGAGGCCTTCGTGCGGGAAATGCTGCCTAGCGAACTTGGTGGCGAAGATGGCAATGACTTGCCAGGCGGTCTCGAATCCGTCACGGGGCTGTGCCGCGATCCCGAGATCTGGAGGAACGTGCGCGCGGAGATCCAGGCGATTTGTAGTGGCCAGGGTGTCGTCAAAATCGATGAGACCGCGGAGCGGTGTATCTTCTTCCTCAAGCACCGGCTCGCCGGCTGCACCGGCAAGAGCGTCTTCAAGAATCACAGCGACGGCGGTTGGCACGGGCTCTTGCAAATTATAGCGGGTGAGATACTACGACAGGCCCAAGAGCTACACTGCGAGGAGCTACGCAGCATGGAGGCCGACATCGCCGCGCGGACCGTCGACGGGGCGCGGGCGCCCGACGACGATACTCGGGCGTGTCGGGCCTGCGAGCGGCTGCTTCCGCGGGCGAGCTTTTCGAAGAAGCAGTGGTCCTCTGCCGCGAAGCGGCGCTGCATCACCTGCGTGGAGACGGGCGCCGAGGCTCCGCGGCCCGCGGAGCCACCGCAGGTTGGCGTCGAGACTCCCTTCGAGGACATCGAGCCATTCAGAGTCGCGGGCTTCGACGCGCGGACCTCGGTAGGAGCACAATTCTCTCGGCGGCGCGGGGATCCTTGTTCTATCGACGACTGGTCGATGTGGACGTTTCTGGCGCCGGACGATCAGCTTCCGCAGTACGTCCTGGGCGAGGCGGAGCTGGTGAAACAGCCGTGTACCGTGGCGTCGAACAGATGTCGAGCGGAGCTGCAGAAGAAGCGTTGGTTAGAATTGGACCACCCTTCCGCGCCCCCCGCGGCCGCATTGGACCCAAGCTTGGTTACACCGACGCAGATGCGCTACACGCGATTGGCATTAGCATACGGACTCTGCGGACCCATCTATCTCGACTCGTCTTATGCACTAATCGCTCAAGCCCTTGACGCTCAGGGAAACGTCCAGGGCCATTCCGAGGAAGTCTTAGCAATCCATGTGCTCCACGAGAACGTGAGGATCCATTTGGGCAACGGCGGTCGCATCGTGCTCGCCGAAGGAGAATACGCCTTTCAGGCAGCCTGCGACGACCAGGTGCTCGTCCACAAGATCC